ATTTTGAGTGAGCTGATTTTTGTGAACAAATGGACAAAATGAGGCCCCCCTTCAGTTGCCCATCCCTGGACTACAGGATACATTTGGTGCGGACCTCTGGACAGGCGCTGTGGGGCAGGCCAGGATACGCCTTGAAGAGGACCTTCTCGGGGCCCAAGAGGCTCCTCAGCTTTTCGGCAGTGCGACTTCCGAAAGAGAACGGCACCAGCGGGTCGGCCTCGCCGTGGCACTGCAGCACGGTCACGTCCTTGTTGGTGTCACCGCCGCCCGTCGCCGCCGCCGCCGCCTATGGGAGAGCCGTTAGGAGAAGGACGCGTTCATTGAAATAACCGTGTGCGACTTCCGAAAGAGAACGGCACCAGTGGGTCGGCCTCGCCGTGGCACTGCAGCACGGTCACGTCCTTGTTGGTGTCACCGCCGCCCGCCGCCGCCTATGGGAGAACCGTTAGGAGAAGGACGCGTTCATTGAAATAACCGCGCGTGTCCACCTGAGGGAAGGCGTTGCGCAGAGGAAGCCAGCAGCTGAGGGCCACCACCCCGGCCAGCTTCTGCTGGCTGGTCAGAGCCGTGTAGAGCGACAAGGCACCGCCCTGTGGTCGAAATTGGCAAATGCGTCACCTCCGGTGGATTTCAAAACATGGGGGAATCATTTTTCATACTGACCTGTGAGAATCCACCCAGGATGATTCTATGGGAGGGGATCCCATTCTTCACTTCCTGGTCAATCATGGTTTTAACTGAGGGTGAATCAAAAGTACGTGATTCCATGAATGCAACGCGATAACATCGCTTTGAAGGAATGGACGCACGGTTGTCTGACGCTCTCTTGATGCCGGATTCGTCTTCTTCCGCATTTGGACTCAAGCTGTAAATGTCGAACCTGAACACAACCGTGGCAATATGACTCTTTTTACATGCAAACATGCATTTCATATATTGTACATATACTCATGTGCATCCACTTACCAGGAAGGCATGGACATTCGCATGTTTAAGGTGACAGGCATGGTTGGGCTGGAGATTAAAATAATAATAACAACATTAAAACTGAACGAAGTATCACCATGACAAATATAGTGAGAAAAGAAAAAAATACTGTCAAGTTGCATGCTAATTTCGAAACAAACATACGCATGTGGACAAATGTACTTGACGTGTGGAATCCTGATGCCACCAAATGCTTCTGCCCAGCCGTGACTGCGGGGGGTAAAAAGAAACCATAAAATGCTTTACATCTAATCAGACATATATACAGTAATTACACAGCACACTTTTTAGATAACCTACAAAACACTTTTACACAGCACAGAGATTTATCCACCAAATGCTTCTGCCCAGCCGTGACTGCGGGGGTAAAAAGAAACCACAAAATGCTTTACATCTAATCAAACATATACACAGTAATTACACAGTACACTTTTTGGATAACCTACACAACACTTTTACACAGCACAGAGATTTATGTGAGTTGTGTTCTGTTTTTTTTTGTTTTTTTTTTCTTTTTTATGGTAATAGCGACATTCGAATCTTTGCTGCACATACCAATAATCTCCATGCATGATATTGTGCTGATGAGAGTGCAACGAAGATGAAAACAACTTTACACAGCACAGAGATTTATGTGAGTTGTGTTCTGTTTTTTTTTGTTTTTTTTTTCTTTTTTATGGTAATAGCGACATTCGAATCTTTGCTGCACATACCAATAATCTACATGCATGACATTGTGCTGATGAGAGTGCAACGAAATGAAAACTGAAAAAAAAGGTGACCTACCCCGTGTCACCGAGGCCATGCAGAAAGATCACCTGCAAAGTTTGCAATGACAATTAGTTGAAGGCTAAATGCCTGTTGGGCTGCTGCTGCTTCTGCTGCAAATAGGTGAGCTTTACGATGATGAAAGCAGCAGAAGGCTGCATGTACTGCAAGTTCCAAACTAGTCGGGATTATCGACTCACCGCCGCGGTGGCTTTGCGGGCAGCAGGCACGATGGCAGGTAGAGGCGCCGACATATTATTACCGCACATACAACAACGCGACGTACCCGTGAAGAAGCCGATTATTAAACCAAATATGGAAGCGAAATGTCAAGGTGCTTGATGGACGACTGCAAAAAAAGCACTGCAGATTTCCTGCGTTTGATGAAAACACCACACACAATGCAAAAACTATCACGCGAAACACACTACTAACGACATCGGGGGAGGGCAAAGAAAGTCCCGCCTTTTCCACTTTATGATTGGCTCAGCCGTAGAAAGACAAGACCCCGATTGGTTCTTTGAAACTCCAGTCTTTCACCTCACCGTAAAGTCAGATGATGAGACGCTTTGATCACTACTTTAAGAGTTAAACGTGATTAAAATGTATTTTTAGAGCTTTTAATTTTTTTTTTATTCCTAACGTTGATTTCTTGCGAGGTACAATCACTTCCTGAGTTCCGCCCACCGTCGTCACGTGATCCGGGTTGTCCTTGGCTACAGGAAGGGTCGTCAAGTTTGGACGGAACCATGTGAAACGAACTTGGGAGCATCATAACAATCATGTCTTTCCCTCACAAAACCGGCGGCAAAGCGTTCGAAGCCTTGCGGAATATGCCGCGCATAAGCCTGGAAAACCTCAGGCCCGAACCCGGCGCCACGCACCCCGTACGGTTCCATCTTTTTTTTCGCACCGTGTGGCAACTAACTGGCTAGCGTGGCTAATGCTAACCCTAGTTTCTGACCGACAACGTCGGCTAACGCTAACTAGCTTGGCGAATGCTAACACCGGTCTCTGACTGCCAACATCGGCTAGTAGGTTAGCTCGCGAGGCTAATCCCGACCCTCTCCCTAGAATTGTTTCGTCTTTTGTTATATTTTCAGGAGAAACGTCGTGGCAGAGGGCAGCACGGCGGCAACCGTAGCGGACGAGGACACAAGGGAGAGCGGCAGCGAGGCAATCGCCCTCGGCTCGGCTTCGAAGGCGGACAGACGCCCTTCTATCTGGTCATCCCTAAGTATGGTTACAATGAAGGCCACAGGTACTACATGCATATAAAAAAAATACAGATTAGATTATTTCCTCAGAAACTGGATGGATTAGCTACTCACCTGCAGACTTCCATGCATTTATCAAGACGACGGCGCTTACATATACAGACAGATGCACAAATAAATAAAACATGCACAAGTAAATAAAACAAATTAAAAGGGATTTACATGATCTATTTTATTACAGTGTAAATCATTTTAAAAGATACTAAGATTTATAAATGTTATGTAGGTTTTTCTTTTTGGCCTGACTTCCTGTGGCTGCTACTGCAAAAAAGTCCCTCCAAAAGTCTCCAATTGCAATGCAAAATCCTCGTTGGAGACATGAAATCACCCCAGCAAATCACATGGTAACCAACCTGTTGTGTTTTGGCTGTCGCATGTTCTTCTGTGCCGCTTCAGCCGTCGTCCTCAGTACCAGCCACTGTCCCTGAGGCGCCTTCAGTACCTCATCGACTTGGGCCGCGTGGACCCGGGACGGCCCATCGACCTGACGCAGCTGGTCAACGGGCGCGGCGTCACTGTGCAGCCGCTCAAGAGGGACTTCGGCGTGCAGCTGGTGGACGAAGTAGGTGCCGCGCACGCTGCACTTCTCTTACGTTGGCTAGGGAGGACAGACCAGATGACATATGTTCAGATTATTATTATTTTTTTAAAATAATTGAATAAAATGACAGAATTTCTGTTTGTGTAGAAAGAGAGAGATGGATACATATAAAGATTTGCTGAATTAATTGGTCAAGAAATCAAAGTGAATATTAATTTCAATGCAAGCATTTTAAAAATTTGTTTGTGACTTTGGAGCCTGCCAGCAGATGTCACCGTTCACAACGCCTCACATGCTCTTCTGTGTTTACAGGGCGCCGACTTGTTCTCGGCCAAAGTGAATATCGAGGTCCAGCGCGCATCCGAGAAAGCCATCGCCGCCGTGGAGAGGAATGGCGGCGTGGTGACCAGCGCGTTCTACGACCCCATCAGCCTGGCTATCCTCATCAAACCCGTGCCCTTCTTCCAGCGCGGTCAACCCATCCCGAGACGCATGCTGCCCGGCGAGGAAATGCTTCCCTACTACGTGGACCCTAACAACCGCGGCTACCTGGCGGACCCTGACGAGGTCCAGCAGGCGCGCCTCGCCCTGGCACTCAAGTACGGCTACGTACTGCCGGACATTTCCCGAGACCGACTGTACGACATGCTTGCTGCCCGCAAGGACGTGCGGCAACTCTTCTTTGGACTCTCACCAGGGTGGATAGTCAACATGGCCGAGAAGAAGATCCTCAAGCCTTCAGATGAGAAGCTACTGAAATACTATGCATCCTAGTGGACATTTGTGAATTGCAAGCTCGAGTAGTCCAAATAATTTGCAATAAATTATGCCATGTCGTTTGTGAACATTCATCCAATGCATAATTTGAATAAATCAAATGTGCCAAGGCAGTACAGTCGTTTGCAAAGTGCATTCATGGGCTCCATCTAGTGGTATGCAAGAGTATTACTGTTTAAGAGTTCAAATTGGCCGATGGCATTGGATAAAACATTAAAAGAATGCGAAGAAAGCAACAGATTTCATTTTGGGGAACACCTTGGGGAGCCTGCTGCTCATGACAAAATGTCTTGGAATCATGCATTCCGGGAACGGAATGAAGGGGAAAACGGTCCGAGTGCAACAGGTGAGCAAGGAGGAAATCAAGACGAGTGGAAAGAATGAAAACAGGAAACAGATGCCAGTGACGTGTGCCACTTCCAACTTTGAAAATGAGTCACAAGACGGATGCCAGCTGTATCCTGCGTCACACGCTTCTTCGCGTACGTCTTTTTGGGAACACAATTGGAAGTACGGCCTCATACATACTGAGTGTGTGTATATATATTTTCCATTATGTGAATCACGGAATTCACTTTCAAGAGATAAATAGCAGTAGTGTTAACCTAAAGCAGCACTGGGCACTGTAATGTACTTTCAATAAACGCTTATTGGTATGAAAAAAAAAGCTATTAGAGCCTTAAAAGTATAAATGTGGCCATTTTTTTTCTGGCGGTGTACGTGAAAAGTCGGGAAAGGGACTCGGGTGTGATGTTTATTTGGTCGAAATGGCAGGCTGGCTAAAAATAAATGGCCTATTTGATGCTTTTTTATCGAAGGAAGCATATGTTTGTGTGTTCACATTGTGCTCCTTACACAAAGCCAAACCAGTCACAAGCCCAGGCCAGATTTAGGGGGGAGGGAATTCAAGAGAAAAGTTCTTTTTTTTGTGTGTTCTCGTGGTTAAATGTGACACTTAAGTGGCGTTAGGGCTGAGGACAAATCTGGGCCGCATCCTTACCACATCAAATAAATCCGAGTGCAGGAAAGAAAACGCGAGTCATTGTTTACAGGCGGGTGGGGGGGCGGGGGGGCTGGCTTTTCCTCAAAGCAGCAGATTCCTTTATCTTCAAAGCAGCAGATCCTTTGCACTTCAACTATCGAAAGGCTCACTTTGCTTACTTTTTTTTTTTTGGGCATCCTTTGACTTCCAGGCCTTTGCATTTCCATTTTATGGACGTCGTCAGAATATCAGCAATTTTTTTTTTTTTCCAAAGTGAAAACAGATATTGGCAATTGGAAGATGATCCGCCTGCTTTCACCGAGGACTACAGAAATCGGAGAGTATTTACAGAACTGATAAAGAGTCTGAAAAGGCGAGGATTAATCTTCGCCGTTAAATTGATGATCCTAATCGCCGTGGATTCATTTTGATAATTGATGAGTTTAGTGGGCGAGTCAATTGTTGCACCTCCACTTAGCGGTATGTGAAAGAAATAGCCGTCGATTTGATTTGACAATCGATTAATCGATAACTTGCTGTACCTCTACTTGTGCGCAATATGACCTTTTTATTTTTTTTCTTGTGCTATATTCCGTCGCAATGTTTGGAGGTGTTTCGGACAGGCGTTAGACGGCGACGTGGCTCTCTGTGACTGCACATTAATCTAATGTCTGTGTCTAACCCGTTCACACTCAGCTAATTAGCCGGCAGACATTTTCTGCAACTAACGAACGCAAGCGAGCGGGAGGATTTGTTTGCGGGTCTGGCGGCTGTCGAGGGCCACTTAATGGCGGCTCCGAGGTGGCGCGGGCCCCGCCGCTTGCACACAAGCGGTGGCGATATCGGAGAGAAGGCGTCCAGACGTGCTTCATTTGGGGCGAGAACGAGCAAGCCCGGTGTGGGCTTTGCTCATTTGCAAAGGAAGGATGGCGCCACGCCTCCACGAGGCAGATAACGACGACATGCAGGTAGAACAGAAAGCCGTTCATTGTTTTGTTTTTTTTAATCGTCATTGAAATTAATTATTTTAAAGAATATTTTCACGTACACTGTAAAAGCATTTGTGATTTTAAAAACATTTTCTTGATTTTTTTTCACTATTCATTTTGTGTTACACAAGCTTGCATTTCAAAAATGTATTCATTTTTAACCTACGATCCATGGAGGATTTTTTTTTTTTTTTGGTGATCATCTTATTTTTATTTTATGTTAAAAAAAAGTACGATCACGTTTGTGCATTTACATATTTTATTTTTTGAACTGATAAATCATTCGATATTTTGCCTTCATCTAGAACAATTTTTATGGTCATTTTGTAATTGATCTGATTTCTTTTTTTAATCAAAAAATAAAGAATTCCATGTTATTACGTTATTTTTTTACGTTACGTTCAATCAATCCATCATGCTTCTGCTAATGCGAGCAGTCAAGGGACCACATTTGGTTCCCTTCGAAACGCTGTTATTTGACACACCAACATTAACGCACATGCCTTGTAACGTTTAATGAGAGGTGGGGGGGGCATTTGGGGTGGGGTGGGGT